CTCTCCTCGCACCCCTGCTTGCCATGACCCAACGGAGGCTTAAAGGTCAGGGGCACCCTGTGCACAGGTTACAGCCAATTTAAAAGCCATTAACCCAACCAAATACTGGAAATCACCATTCTTGTCTATTTAAAGTAATGCTTCTAAAAGATTTATTAAATAAAGTGCAAATGTTAGAATGCTATCTAATTATTATGGCTCAATTAATTAGCTTACTTTTGAACACAGGAAAAGGATCTGACTTGTTATACTTTGATAATGTATAAGGCAGGATATGAAGAAATGCGATTAACTGGAAAAAGCCTCAGGGTCTAAATGATGACAGGGTCCATTTAAGATCTATAGACTGCTAGCAATATCAGAAGGCCAAATTACTAAACCTCTCAAGTTTCAGTTGTCTTATCTACAAATAAAGATATTAGTAGCACCATTACATAAGATAATCAGTGTAACACATTTGGCATTACACCTGCTTTATAAGAGCTAAAAAGCATTAGCTGAGATATGGTTGAAGTTCTACTACAACTAATAACAACAGTGATTACCTTCTTACTAGTAGTAATGGTAATGGCAGTACACTGTGCCTTAAGAAGGGTTGGGTTGAATGGAGCTATTATGGTTTGGATATGAAATATTTCCCAAAATGCTCACAATGTTGAAAACTTGGTTGCTGATGGGCTTTTGGGGGTGATCGGATCATGACAGTTCTCACTCCATCTGTAGAGGAGGTCAGAATTTGATGGCATTAAAGGGAGGTGATTGAAATGGGGGTGAGCTTAGTTGAAGGGAGAGGGTTATGCAAAGTTCATCTTGGAGACCGTATCCTGTCCCTGGCCCCTTCCGCTCTCTCTGATATCCAGCTGCCACATGAGTAGCTTCCCTCCACCTCTCCCTTCTACCGTGACATTTCTGCCTCACCACAGGCCTAGAAGCAGCAGAGTCAAGTGAGCATAGATGAAAACCTCTGAAACCACAAGAGAAATGAAACTTTTCCTCTTTTAAGATATTTATGTCGGATATCTTGTCACGGAAATAGAAAGCTAAAACAATTTATCATGTGTTCCATTGTGGTATCATAAGCCTTGAGTCTGCCCTCAACTCCAAAGTCATTAAATGAGAGGGTAGGGAATTAAATGAGAAAGCAGAGGCAAGATCTCAATAAAGATTTTTATTATGCTATAAGGTTGCATGGTGTTCACTGAAGGGGAACATCCTGGCAGAGTGATTTTAGAGTCAGACACAGGGGACATGGACCTTGACTCTGTCACTGGAAAATGTGTAACTTCAGCAAAGTTACTAAGCTTCTCAGAGTCTTGATATCCTTATTTGTGAAATAGAAATAATCACAACTATAAGAAGATTATAAAAATAACAAATATGTGGCATAGACAACGTGCCTAATACCCTCCAGATGCATCCCCCTCCTTCACCTGGCTTCACACTAGGGTTGGCAGATGGTCTAAGGGAGAAGTTCATCTGGATGGGTGGGAAGCGTGAGAGCTGGCATGGTGAGCTCTTGGTTAAGAGAGAGAAGATGTCATTAGCTTCCTTACACCCTCCTCCCACTGGAGGAGCTGAAGGATTGCACAGTAGGGTCACTAAATGTTAGCACTTAATCCACACTTAGTTGCAGCATGTAGTGGAACCATTTTCATTTCATCGTACAATGCTACCATGAAAGCTATCCAGTCAAAAAGAGCAAAAACACAGGCTGGAAATCTAACTCTGAGCATTCTTGTTTTATACCCTGATATAAATGAAATCTCAGTACATTTTTTTCTGCCAAAATATTGAAGACAAAATTTTTAAATGCTGTACATCTAATGGCTGCAAATATCTTTCCATCATCACTGCAAGATAGTAATCATTTGATGTGAATTACATAGAAGCTATGTCATTCGTGATAGTCATAACAAGTTTAGGAATACTTTTCCATTGTAAATGCTACTCTGATGAAAATGTAATTACACAGAAAATCACAATCTACAAAATCATCTTATTTCTATTTTCCACATTATTGTTTCAATGTCTGCATTATATTTCATTTTCTAAATTCAGAGAGTACATTTCCTTTCATGCATTATGGTGCCAATCCCAGGACTTTGTTTTCTTTAGGTGTTTTGAAGTAAAACTAATGTGAATTTTGACATTTCAAGTACACTTTTAAAATACTCTCCTGATTTTTGTAACTATTCCTGATACTAATATACAGTTATATGTCGTTAGTTACTTAAATGTTTTCTGTAATTATGTAAATTATGTTGACAGTTTCTGGTAGGATGCTTACATTTTACCATTTTGTCATTTGCAACATTTTAAATATACTAGATAACCATCTTCAATACTTTTCAGATTAAACAGCTGTTAAAGGGTCCCTGCTGTTGGGTGCTTTGTTTTGCCGGTAACACTGAGTCCACTTTTGGCCCCTGAGGTTCTTAAATACACACCCTCTACCTCCCCCACAGACTTTGTATTTCTGAAATTTCATTTATTTATCTTCTCTTGTCTTAATGATGGGCAAGTTATAGTCACGGGCTTTATGGAGCTCATGGTCAGAGAGGGGGAGATACCATTAGGTAGAGATCTACAGATTATTACAACAGAACATGAAGGACAAATGTTACAACAAGGTGGGAGTAACCGCCATGACAAAGGAAAGAGTACCAGCTGCCCAGAGGAGCCAAATGAAGGCCCTGCAAGTGAAGTGATCTCTAGTCTGAGTCTTAATGTTTCTATAGGAGTTGGTGAGTAGAGATTGGGAAAAAAAACAAAACAAAACTTCCGGGGCAGATCCACAGATAGAGGCATGGCCAAGAAAGATAAGGAGTTCAGGATGCCTTAGACACAAGACAAAGGAACCCAAGCATTGGCCAACAACACTGCAGTGCAGGGAACACAGGAAATCACTTGTAAAGGCCTTGAAAGGTATAGCAGGGCAGGAAGAGAGTCAGATACAACCCCTTTCATTGTACGAAGAAACTGACGAGGTCCAACTTTTCAGAACATAACCACCCTGATTAGGAGGACAAACAGATGCATATCTTCTCTTCTAGAGGTAGCCTAAAATAATAAATTCTGTCAAAGTCTCAGAAAGGGAAACAATCTCTGCTCATCCAATTATGCTTAATTCAAACAGAAATGCATTCAGTTGCTGCTGACTGACCCACGAGATTATGAGAAAGATAAATACAGTGCAGAAAGCAATTTTCAGAGATATATGAAAAACATTACGATACATACAGTAGCCCCCCTCTTACCAGTCAGAGCCCCTGCAAAGCTGTGGACCATCACACTTTGGCCACGCTGATGCATGGTGACAAGGCCCTGCCAAACACTGCTACCTTCATGAGCAGGGACCGTGATCCACCATGATCCACATCACAGCAAAGCACCATGGCCCTGTCATATTTGGTGTGGTTTCACATTCACTACCTCTTGGCTGTGCTCTGATGGGAATGTACTATCTGCCACACCTCTGGAAACCCACACATGTGGACAGGGGCCATCAAACAGCTGCCACATCCACATTTTAGGGTGAACACGGTCCACTTTCCTCAGGCCATATCAAGGTACTGAGCTCTAAACAAGCAGTTTTAACCACACTACTGCCTGGGTTGCCGAAATAGCCACAAAATTGTGGTAGTCGTGGTGGTTGCAATGGGATGAAGGGAGATGTCTAATTCAAATTTCAGTAGGGTCATAATGCTGAAGAAAAATGTTTAGAAATGGATGGATGAACATATGAATAAATTGTAATAAATAATGGGTTAGATGAAATTACAAATAAAATTTTAAAAATAGGTGAAAATAAAATATAAGAAATGGTTTTTAAAATAATAAAAAAGTGATTTTTCAACAAGTAAAAAGGAAGACAAATCAGCAAAAGAGATAACATAAAAAAGTAAGCACAATAAATTATATATATCACTCCTTCAAGAAGCTACTTATCTCCCATATGCTTTTGAATATTCTTGAAAAGTAAAAATGGATGGAAAAAATCAGAGCCCCTAGAGAGTATCTTCTTTTCTCTCTTTTGAAACTATCTGCCTAAGTGTTAGGGGCTTATCTTGGGGAAACCTGACCCAGGTGATGAGGCATTACCTACTAATCTAAAGCTATCTGCCTGTATTTCATGGCTTCACCCTGGAAGCGGAAATGGGGAGCCACATTTTCTAAATCTGAAAGATCTGTTATAAGTGAAAGTCACCAACACTGTTTTGGCTGTGAACTTTACCAGCCATTCCACAAAGACAGGTCTGACCACTTGTCTTAGACCACTGTCCCAATTGCCATGGCTCTGGGGGAATGGCCAGACCGTGGAAACTGAGATACTCCCAACAAAGCTGGAGAGTTGAATGCAGTTAGAATGGGTTTTGTGTATCCTCAGCCAGAATAAACGGAAACCAGCAGATACTTCCTGCAACTGCACAGGCCCACGAGGAGGCCTGCAGTTGGCACAGGGACCAACCCATTCATCAGCAGCACACGGGCAATCATTAGGTTAAATAGCACTTACTTCTCCTAAAGACACAGTGTGAACAATCCTCCTGCTCAGCCCTAGAAACTCACGGGTGTGTGGAGGAACAAAGGAAGAGCCCACAGCCAAACACCACTGGGAAGAAAATGAGGCCATAATACTCCCATCCCCTCAGAGTGGGTACACAGGGGCGGCCCTCTAATAACACACCAAAGAGCCAACCTAGAGCTGACAGGCCACCCAACTGTATCCAAAAAGAGCTACCATATACTCAGAAAGCTATGAACATACTAAGCCCCCTTATTTGCAGCCCGGGGTGTACTTTTACAAGTCAGGAAGCAAACATGAAATAATATTATTTCAGTAGGGAAACTGATTTCTGTTCCCATGTCCTAATTGAAGAAAACACAAGAAAGAACTATTGATTCCAAAGATTTAGAAAATTAACAGGTACAGGAGAACTTTGAATAGGGCGCAGACCAGAATTGAGGGTAAGATGGTAGGTTTCAAACGGGTTTCTTACCTTTTTGTCACTCAGGCCAGAAACCTGGTCCACATACTCTTCTTGGATCATGAAGGCAGCTAAGTTGGCAGTGTAGCTGGCCAGGAAAATGACAGCAAAGAAGGCCCACACCGACACCATGATCTTGGACGTGGTCCCCTTTGGGTTCTGCACAGGTACGGAGTTGTTAAACACCAGACCCCAGAGTAACCAAATAGCTTTGCCGATGGTGAAAGATGGGCCGCCCGGCTCTGGCATAACAAAAAGATGAGGACGGAAAGTTAAGCCAGAATCACTGCTTCTAGTTCCACCTACAAGTGCCCAGAGCTACAAAGTCCCTGCTCAGAGCAGTAAACCCTTCAACTAAGACTGAGCCTTTTTATGATGTGAGAGTCTGTGTCTCTTCTCTCTGGGAGCCTCAGGAAAGCAGGAAAGAGTTCCTTAGGAGAAAACCCAAGGCTCAGGGGTCTGTGTGAGATCCTTCTCTGAAAAATAATTCTCTTGCTGTCATATATAGGACCATCAAGATTACATGAAAGTTGAACAGTAAAGGCCAACTATATTACTATATTACTCATACTGGGGCCACTATTACTATTTTTCTAAATGTTTATACTTGTATCTATCAAGGAAACATTTCAGTGTCCAACACCTCAGTGAGAATTGTGTGAATCTTCTCTATCATTGTCTGTGTACACCTCAAGTCTGTGTACACCAATGCTGGGAGGCTCTGAATACACTGTATGCTAGTTTTTCTTTAGCTACTAGCACTTAGCATCTATGTTTTGAAGACAGCCTAACTCCCTTCTTGCCCTGCCTCAACAGGCTTCCTGCAGTAGTGGCTTCTATGTACAAGGTAATTGGGAAGCCCAGAGAGGAAGTTGTGGACTCCTGGCCCAGGCACACAGATCTTAAGGCAGGAAGTAGCAGTCCCCGACTTGATTTTCCTCCACCTGATCTTTACGTGGACAGCATCAGGGCTTCTGTCCACCAGTGTATCGTGACCTCACTGCTGTCTCCTCTGGGTGAAGGTAAAATTTTGCCTGTTGTCTGGCTCCCCAGGATCCCCTCCACTGCAGAAATGAACATCTGCTTGCACCATTTTACAACATATTAACACAAGTCTTAGGATGCTTGCTGTGATCCTGACAGCATCTGCTCAGCCAACGAAATCATCAGGGACTACACATGTTGAACTTGATATCTAACTGTGTGCACACATCTGTGCATGTGGACCTTAGTTCATGTAGCAGATGCATAACTAAAAAATTGTATATAAATCAAAGTTTTGTGAATTGCAAAATGTTCTAGAGGGACTTGATATTTAAAGTGGCATCACGCAGAATTCCTCTGTGAAGGCAAGCATCTTATGGTAATGGAACTGTACGTGCTTGCTCTGGGTATTATAAATCTGGATTTTGTTCAGCTTTTGGAATTTTTTTCAAGGGTAAGTGGACACTGCACACTAACTTTAGTCCTTGACACTGTCTACTTGTGTATAGTCTTACATGATTCTCCGCAGTTTCACTTCTTACTGGAGCCCCTCAGTCTGAGATGGAGGTCATGGATTCCAGGTGCCCCTTTAGCACAGAGCCACTAACTATTCCATACTTCAGGGATATTAACAATCCCTGCTCAGATCACACAGACCAAATAAAAAGCTAGGTCTACACACGGAAGTCGATTAGTGAAATGGGGGTCACACTCTGAACTGTGAATTCAATGGAAGAATGAGGGGAACTTTACAAAATAATGCTGCCTCTTACCCACCTCTAGAAGTTCTTGTTGAATTGCTATGGAGTTGAGCTGGTTATTCTAATGCGAAACAAGGTAGAGAACCACTGTTCTGCAACATACAGTGATCCAAGCTCCACCCTGGACTTAGTGGATGAGCAAACAAGGTCCCACCCAACACCTGTGTCTTTTAGGTGCCCCATCGGTAATTCTTATTAGGAGCCAAGGCAAAGAATTTTCCCTCTTGGAGTTATAATTCCAGAACAACTCCCTTTCTGGACAAAGAAGACTTGGAGGAAGTAGAATATTTCTTAATCATGGGTTTTCAGGGAGTTTTAGAAGGACCTCATGCTCCCCTTCAGAAATTCAGTGAACTTTTAAAAAAGTATCATAGATGTCTCAAACACATAGACAACCCTCTTATCTGTGGACCATCTACCCAGGAAATTGGACCCTCTATAACAGCTGCAGGTGAGAACTGGTCTGCTCCTTCCTTTCTATCTCAAGCATCCAACACTTTTCTTACCAGACAAGGGAGCTATGCCAGGGATATACGCTTTGGAGACCTTGTGCCTCAGTAGTGATCTTTTAGCTAAAGGGAGCTCTGCTAGCCATAGCCACCTTCATACTCCCCAGAGCAACCAATGTTTCCATATTCCTAACTCGTGTGTACAATCTGCCTTGTTAGTCACATCTGTTGCAGCAAACAACTCCCCATAGCCTCAGGTTATCCAAACAGTTTCTGGTAACATATTTACACTCCCCATATTTACTATCCATCTCTCCTCTCACTTGCCTGGGGGTGTGGGACTAGACTTAGGGCTGGTGTGTCCCAAGAGGGGACAAAGAAGTTCAAACTGATAGGTGGGTGATCTATAAGGCTAAGGGATTATATTTTTTTCCAGCACTGGATAAATTAGAAAGGATGCACATAACAAATGAAGGGCACAGAGATTTGGGCTCACAATTAGAATACATGGGGAAGTGCAGTGATTCCAGCTGGCCTTACCTCTGCCATCAGCGAGGCACCTGTTATAACCCACAGGGCTGAAGTATTCAAAGACAAAGACAGCCACGGCTGAGACGATGAGCAGCATCACAAACATCATGACCCATACGTCAGCACTGAATGGCTCTGGGGAGGAAAAGAAAACCCGCCCAGGGTCAGAGCAGAGAACAAACAGATGCTCATTATTGCACAGATTCATTTGCTCAGGGAAACACAGATTTGGGAGGAGATGAAGAACAAGGCTGTTGCATGCCTTCAGTGAGCCAGGGACTACATTACTGAGAAACAAGTCAGCCCAAGCACCACTCCGCAGGTGACCATATTGGGATGTTTTTCTTTGAAACACATGAGAAAGAGCATCTCATGCTTGTGAACCTTCTGAGGTTTGTACAGACAGTTTCTGGCACTGCTGGACCCGTAGCTCGGTCTGTCAGTGAAAGGTACAATTTGAAGAAGTGCCAGGCAAGGTGCAGGTGAATTCTCCAGGCTGATCTGGTTTATGTTCTCATCTTTATGCACACACTACAAAGTGGTGATCCCCCAGAAGCCTTCACTATCGCCACTGAATCTTGCAACCAAGTTAATTATTAATGGATCAGAGTTGAATTGGTTCCATAATAATTATGAATAACACTCCTACCCATTTCTCTTAAATTTTCCAGCCTAGATTTACTTTGCCAACCCATTTTGATTTGGTATATTTCATTACACATCATTAGGATATAAGAATATAAGACAAAGTTAAAAATCTATTTACATTGAAAATCAATATGTGCAGCAGTAGAAATCTAACAAGAGACAAGGACAAGTAGAGAATCATGAACCAATTACAAGCCATACCCTATTATTTCTTCTATTACTAGGTGATAGGGTTGGTGGCACAAGACCAGGCATGATAGCAAGAATGTGCTATATATCATTTCTTTAATATCTTTAATAACTTCTGCTGATTCCCTTCCAGTTGAATAACTCTCTGGCTTAGAGGTGCCCAGAAACTGAACACTATATTCTAAAAGCCATCCCTCTGAAGCCCTGTATGCAAAGGGGACAGTCGCTATTCTGTCCCATGATTCAGTGCTCCCTCCATTGTGTCTCAAAATAGTCCTGGCCTTTTTAGCTGTCACATCATATTGTAAACTCATAACTAAGTGAATTAACATGCTGTTTGCCCTATCTTCCAAATCATTAATAAAGATGAAGTTGAGAAAAGGGGAAAATTGGCTGAAAATTAGAAAATATATTTCTTACTCTGAAACCTACTTTACTATTGAACTTCCAAAGGAATTATAAAAGCTTGGTCACTTAATCAATTTAAAAATAACCTTAATAAAGCTCCACAGCTTAACACACCAACTGCGAAATACAAAGCTTTTCAGTGGCAGCTAGAGTCTCAAGCATAGATGGGACAATTCAAAGCCTCTCCACTAGTGTAGGGAAATCTCCTTCATCTTTGATGCTAATGGCTTGCAATTCTACCTGAATTTCACTTTTTTCTAAGTCTGGGGAATAACTGAGAAAAATCATTACTTCTGGGTTAACCCCCTTCCACATTAAGCTCAGAGCAACACAAAAAAATACAATAAATATCTGTCCTGGTCTTCTCAATTTATGAAGCTTTCTTTCACCACACATTGTTAACTATAAGCCTTTAATGGCCCCTTCATTATGGATTACCGTACCTGCTTATAGAGGAGTAAACTAAGGTTGAGGAATCAAAGTTCTTCTTGGTTCACACTAAGAAAGTGGCAGAGTGAGGTTATGAACTGAGGAACTCTGAGACAAATTCTGCTCTTCCCGATGTATGATGGTGCATTGATAATCTGCCCACCACACCCAGGTTCCATGGTTAAGGGTGAAATTCTGAGATGAGCAGATGTGGTCTAGCGCACAGGCTCTGAAGGCTACCATAACTAGACTTTATCTTAGCTCTATTCTCCCTAAATCATAAAATCAATATAATAATAACAATGTCCATGAGTTAATAATAATGAAAGCATGCACAATCATACCTGGCACATCACATATTAGATGTTCAATAAACACTAGCTTTCGTGTCCTTGTAACTAATGACTCCTCCAAACACACACAAAATGCTCTGCCTAGCATTTCTGTCATTCCAGGACTCACTGGCTCTTCCCGGTTAGAAGTTATGGTTATGATAAACTAACAAGAGTTAGAATTACAATGTACTTTCAATGCTCCAATCTCCTTACAAAGGAAAAGTGCAAACAAACTGCACCCAGCAGCTTTGAGGATTAATGCATACAGTGTGGGCTATCTAATAACATTTCATATGAGGTTGGCAGGGCCAGAATTTGCTTCACTATAAATAAGAAGATTAGCTAAGAAGCTTGAGTACAGTTGTAATTTATAGAAAAATTCTATGGAACCTATAATTCCACTTAGTGGTGTATTAATTGAATTAATTTCTCATGGAGAGAATTTAAAGAAATGCTAGTCACTGTCTATTCTAATGTTCTTGTTTTGAATATCCCTTAGGGTGATTGTGACTCGTCCAAGGGCTTACAGTTATGACCAAATCAGGCTTCTTGTCAATGTTCTGGTTTCAAGATGACATTTTATTTTCCACCCTTTGCTCCACAGCCCCTGCAAAAAATATGGGGTATGAGCTCACAGAAGACCTCATCTAATTAAAATCCTGGCCTTATCTCACCAAGTCTTACATCATATCTAAGGGTTCTTACATTTAAGTGATGCTGGAGGTGGGGAAGTAGAGGATGGATGGGCAAGGGTGGGGTGGGGTAGGAGGAATCAGCTCCAGCTGGCAAAGCCTCAAAAATTCATGGAAAAACAGGAAACCTGTTTTGACAGTGTCAGGATCCATTCTTAAGGATAATAAAAAATATATATGTTGATGACATTCAGAATTAGAAACTATTAGAGAAGGAAGCAGCCTCGGGATCAGCTGGTGGAAGTGACCTCTTCTTTGGATGGGAAAACTGAGCCCTTAGGTGGAGCAAATGTCTTGAGGTCAGATAATGCCTAGGTGGTACAGAGGGGTCTACAGGAGGTCTCTGCTGACCAGTCCAGCAAGGTTTCCTCAAAGGGCAGTACGCTTTCCTCTCTTTCTGAGTGTGCTTGAGCTTTCGTGTCTGAGAATGGTCAATTCTAAAGTCCCTAAATGAAGTCCCCAGCATCTGACCAGCCTCCTCCTGGCTGCAGAGCCTGGCCATGTGCTCCTGCAGCTGCCCCATATCCATCCACTTGTCCGTGTAGCCATTTCTTCCCGCATCGTTTACCTAAGAAGGCAGAAGGTGAGACAGTCCCATTGCTTCGTGACACCATGACACTGATGCCAGTCTCTATGAAGGGTACAGAGAAGTCCACCACCTCCGACCGCTCCTCATTGATGGTGAGTGATCCCACCGCCATGTAGGCCCTCTTCATGACCACCTGGAGAGAAAGGTGCAATGCTCCATTGAGAACGCAGGAAGGCAGGGGCCACCGTGAGGAAAGTACACACGGCCTAGCAGTGACTTTCTTTGTAGAGTGGAAACAGTACCTTCTCTTTACTATTTATATTTTCAGAAATTCACAAAATGAATATTTTAGGACATACTTCAGTGAAGCAAGATCAAAGAAAAAATGGAAACGGCCCGCACTTCCTGACACTCACCTCTCCAATCATACCATTCCACGTCCCGTTGATCTTCTTCCCGTGTTTGCCATTGGTCACCAGGTAAAGGTCATAGGTGAACTTCACAGATTTAGAAATTTTCTTAAGGATGTCTATACAGAATCCCTTGCAGCATTTTTTGATGTAGCCTGGCTCCTCATCTGTTTTATTCCTAGCCATATAAAGGAAGGGGGAAAAAAAAGCAAAGCTCCGTACAAGAAACAAAATATTACTCTTGGTCATTAAAACTAAAACCCCAAGGCAGGCCCCACCTTCACACAAACCAAACAAATCAGTCCTCGTATCTGCAGAATTCTCATTCCATTGCCACGTTTCCTGGAAATTTTCATGTTCCATTGAAGTATAAACATCTGGAAAGGGTGCATATCCTAAGGATTCAGGTCACTGAATTTTCAGACACTGAATTCACCTCAACCTTTTAACTGGCACCTCAACCCTGGTACAGAAAATCTTCTAGCATCTAAGAGGCTCTCATCCTTCCTTCCAGGTATTCCCTTTCCTTATTAAAGAGAACAATTATTCTGACTCCTCACAGCACAGGCTAGGTTCTAAATCTTAAAACTGGGTGACATACTGGTGCAAGGAAACGTATTTCAGCACCAAAACTGAACTTAAATCTCTGTGAACCAGAGGTCCCCGTGGCCGGGCCAGGCCCAAGGCACCCGAGCCTGGTGGCTGGCAGTCATTCTCCTAATTTGTCACTGGGACAGACAGAGCCAGACACCACACCACGAGGCTGCGAGCGCTTCCACAGCTCAACTGCAGGTGCACAGCGAACACAGTGCTCAACTCATTCCATGCTCCAGGCCCCAGGCTATCAGATGCACCACATGTGACTCCCACGCCACCCAGGGCCTATGGGGAAGGTGCTACACATACTCAGAGATGATGCGCTTTTGGCAGGGAACCGTGTTTCTCATGCAGGTTCCACTCAGAGGGTCCACACTTTCCACAATGACAAACGGCGCTTCCTCCAGGGTCACGATGCTCAGGTGGTCATCCTCTTGCTCCTCCGTCTCAGGAGACATTCGGGGCCACACGTAGTACTTCATCTGCAGGGACTTGTCTTTCCACTTCCCTACCTGCACAGGAATGAACGAGAGACTCAGAAACCACTGGCCAGGACATGAGAACCTTCCCTAGCACTGTCTGAATCTTTCCAAGAACTGGTTAAATGAAGGCAAACAGATGCAAGCTTTGTACATAATGGAGAGTACGCTTTCAAAACCATGTGCTCAACAGAAGACTGCTGCTTCCAAATCCAAGAAAGCTGTATGTTCAGTCCTCACCATTCCACATAGTGGAAGTGGACCTACTAGGTGCTGGGCACCCCGCTAAGCTCTGTAGCTCAAAAAAGCAACAGTTTGCCCCCTCAGGCTCTTGTCAGGCTGGGCGAAGAAGTCAGAAATGTAAACAACTATTTACAGCAGTGTGTGGTAAGGGCTAAAATTGAACAAGTGCAGTGAGAATGCCTTTCTCCTGTGTTTCGTGTGGCTGTCAGTGTTTTTTTTTTTTTTACTTAACTGTAACAAGGAACATGATAGTGAGAACAGAAAATGGTGTTGGAAAGATCAGCAGAGTGACTGCAGCAAACAGTCTGGCCTATAACAGAGGTCCAGAGGGGAACTGCGTGAGAGCAGGGTCAGTCTGAACGCGAGCATAATGCCAAGCTGGGAAGGGAGAATACAGGTGTGGTTTGTTCGGGGAAGGGAGGGCAGGGCTGGTGAGGACTGTGCGGGTCAATGAAGATGTGTGCTCCTGCAGTGGATCGCAAGGTTTCTGTGAGCGGCCGTGCGTGGTCACACAGACCGCACATCCATCACAAGCAACGCCGTGCACGTGAGTGACACAGAAACACGGCAGCACCCCTGCCAACCGCCTGGGTAAGTACAGTGGCCCAATTATCTTTTTGAGGAACCATTCATTCTTAATTTTATGATAGAATCTACAAAACTTTGGAGGTTCTTATCCTCACTCTGCGATGGAGCTTAATGAAGAAAGAGAACTTTTAATTTTCTATAACTGAGGATCTTTGATTGCCACAAAAAAGCATGGATTGCAAGCTCCTGCATTTTCCTGATTTCTCCACGTGGTAAGGCAAAACAGGACAGGTGAGAACTGCAAAACTACTTAGTTTATTTAACTACAGAAATCAATAGGAAACAACAAAGTGGCAGCACTCCCACAAATTTTTAAGTAAAGAGGCATGGAGTTCCATATTAATGCAAAGTTCAAACTCTTTCTTTTTGTTTCTCGATTTTCTGCACTTAGATTTCCACCTCGCATCCTTTGGGTGTGCCCTGTTCCTCCCTCCACCTTGCCCGGCAGTGCTGATGAGTTCCATATCTGAATTAATCCTGTACATTCATCACTCTTGTTTCCCTGTGTCACTAAGACATGGGCAGTGATTTAGTGTGCTGGGCTATTTTGTTTGGCACCTGTATTGTCTTTTCCTGGCATTAACTTTGGTTCTGGTTGGTTTCCTTCTGAGTGTGTATAAATGATATTCTACCTCTTTGGTCAGAATAATGCATTGAACCACATGTTTGCTCTCCTTTATACCCCTTAGCCTGTGATGGACTTATATCTTAGTAAACATATCATAAGTTGAAAATGCATTTAATAACCTGTGACCTACAGGCACCGCCACTTAACAACACAGTGCACTAGAGTATGGCTTGCCCACTTTCACGATCTCATGTCTGGGCTCTGTGGCTCACTGCCACCACCTAGCATCATGCGGGTACCATGTCACATGTTACCAGCCCAGGAAAGTATCCAAAATGGTTTCTACTGAATGAGCATTGCTTCTGCACCACCACAGACTGGAAAACCCAGGAGTCAAGTAATGACTATCTGTGTAGATGTCTCTTTGCGGTTGAATTTAATTTTGTCCCAAGTCTGTTTTTCCTCATATTGCTAATACTGTTTATTTCTAAAATAGAAATTTTCAAATGGCTTCCACAGCATGTGGAAATAGAAATGTCCTCTGCCAGTGGTTGCAGCAGGTAGAGTCTTGGAGCAGAGAGACCCAACCTTGGGGGACCATGACACTGGGTAAACTCCACCCCCAAGCAGATTATTTACCCCTGTGGACAAATTGATAGTATTTTCTGCATGTTCAGTAATGTGGAAATGGTTCTGAAACCCTGACATACTTTTTTATTTGTTTGTTTTTCAGTCCTCTCAGGTTCCCTCAAGAGTAGCTTTCGATTTTTTCCTTTTAAATCCAAAGGCATTTTCTTCTACCTTCATTAATTAATTACTCCATTAATCCCAGCATATCCCAGAGTGGTCCAGCAGCCCATTCTGGAATTATTTCAGGAAGCTTCCAGCCTCATACAAGGTTGAGAGAACCTTGCCATAGACATTGTTGCCAGGTGATTTTCTTAAAACACAACTTTGTCACATAATCTCTAGTCAAACATTTCAGGAACCTCTCACTGCCCTCAAGATTGTGCCCAAATATCTGTGCACTAATCCTTTCCTACTTTGATGAGGCTAAATTCACTATTTTTGAATTATGAATCCCTTGCTCATCTCAGCAAAAGACATTGTCAGTATAGGAATTAACACAGGCAAATCAGGAACAGATTGCAACAAACTAGCTACGGTTTCTTTTCTAACAGACTTAGTCTGTGGGGAAAAAATGTTGCAGCAGACACAACAGTTTTGGCAAAGTCTCATGACATTCTTCTGAACAAGATGAACTATAACATGGATTGCTGCTTACTTTGATGGATTGGAAAAGAGTTAAATCTCTATCTAAAAAGAAAAGAAAAATTGTTTAATGAATCAGTGCCAATTGGAAGGAAGTGTTTAATGACATACCAGGAGACCCTGTTCTTGGAAGTGACCTATATAGTGTTTTAGAAAACAAAATAAAAGTCAGGCTCACAAAATCACAGAAGACAAAAAGCTAGACAGGATAGTAGACAACATGCATTGCAGAACTGAGTGTGGAAGAAACAAATTAATTCAAATAATGCACTGAACCAATTGGAATGAAAGTTAACAGTACTTGTGCTTAAAGTCTAGCATTCAGATTATTCAGAAAAGCAAATGCACATCCCTGAAAAGGAGGTATTTCAATCAGTAGCAGTCTATAAAGTCTACTGCAGCAACAAATGTTATATTTATAGACTTAACAGCATCTAGTGCATGGGGTGAAGGGAGGACATGATCATCTTACCCTGCCTGTGTTCATCGTTCATAGCAGGAAAACTAAGTTCTGATCCTATAATTCCATGATCTACTAATTTTTTTAATTAAATATGCCATTCTCATTTCCTCAGTAATAACTTGTTCACACCGTTTTGCTGTAGCACTTTCCCAACCTTCTGCCACGCTAGCTGAATCATAGCCTTGCTTCACACCAACTCAGTTCAACCAACGAAACTTGTACATTGATACTGTGCCAGGCACTGGGTTAGGTGCTAGAGATTACAATATGAGTGAGGGTGGACTGAACTGGTCTAGAAATCTCATTAACCATCACAGCAAACCTATAAGACAGACTTCCAATTAATGTTTCATTCTATAGAGGGGACTGATAACTTTCCCAAGATCTCAAGATAAGTGAGTGCTAAGTTTGCAAGTTTGACTCCACAGCTTGGGCTCCGACCCATTAGGCTTCTCTGCTTAGCTGATAATTAAGTACTAAGGCATGGTCATGTCCTCCCAGGGCAGTCTGGAGGGGGAAGATTTTGTCTATTGTCAATAACATCTTTGCTAATTACTCTCACACAAAGTATAAGTACTCTGGCATTCAGAATAGAAGTGATCACTTCCAAAAGGTTGAAAGAAAAGCCACACAGAGACCTTTACATTGAAGCTCAGCCTTCAAGCAGAAGGGATCGTTGCTTAGGTGAGGAGTTCTTTGTTTGCTGAATGTGCTCAGTTTCCTCCTCAAGACCTGCTCATTCCAGCAAGGTGATCTCTACCACTCTTGAGAGCCAACTGGATCGTGCTCATTCCTCCCCAAGTTCTTGCTCAATGGTGTCAGGTTGGAACTGGTGTGGGCACCATAAAATTGGCAAACACTACAAATCAGGGCTTTCTCTGTTCCCGCCCCTTCACCAAGCTGCTGAATATTTACCAGCTTGCACGGCTCAGAATAATCCAATCATTCATTATTCTGTACTATTCATTACCTTGTTTAATGATGTTTTAAAACTTTCTAGGTGACTTTCTAAGCTAAATTCCAAACGTGTCACTAAATATTTCAGAGGCCGCACACAAATTTTTAAAACTCTGAGCCACAGTTTTCACATTTGTAAGAACAAGTGAGTGGATGTCTAAGGTGCCTTGTATATAATTCATAATCCCATTATCTCTTCAGATCAAGGGCTCTCTACAGCACTCATGCAGATTAGAGCCTGTAAGTGAGGTATTCTTACTAGCCATGCCCTGAAAGAAGGGCAGTATCTGATTTTTTTTTAAATACAAAAGATTCACTTGTTTTAAGTCTGTTTCCTCAAGGATGTTTGCAGTCAGAAGGGAAATTAATAAATTCCTGAAGGGAGAAACTTTTTGGAAAAATAACTATTATGAATATCAGATTCATAGTGCCAATAAATAGGACTCATGTTAGAGGATATGTTTAGTTACCTCAAATTTTTGTGGTTTTTTTTTTTGCTTCTTTATTTTCTTCTGCTGCTCTGGAAATTGAACCCCAGGCCTCACATATTTTAGACAAGTACTCTACCACTGAGCTACATCCTCAGACCTACATCAAATTCTTTTTAGACAAAGGGAGTTGTTTAGTTGATAAACAACTAAAATTAAATAATTAAGTTAAGGCACATTTTAGTGTACAATAATGAGGTATGTTTCAAATAAGTCTTCTTTCCAAGGGAAGCAAGTATCCCAAACGGAAAAGTCTGAAGCAACAATAAAGAAAAGAAAACAGCAAGAGAAGCTTGAAATGGAGAGCAAAAGTCTTGAAGGCTTATCTGGGAGGCAGAAACAGTGAGAGTGCACAATCCCAGACATGGAGAGAGTAATAGGAAGTGAGGTTAACAGGAGCTACTTCAGAGGAAATCCACTGTAGAAAAACTGAATGAAGAATTTATAGGCAAGA